TCCCATTAAGCTTTGGCTCTGTAGATGGTTTGTGATCATACATTATTAAATTCACCCCACTCCCTTTGATCCACTAAGCACCACTGGATTCCGACTCTGCAGCTATTACATAAGGGACAGGATAGCATTGCACTGACCAGATGTAAATGCAGTACTCTTCAAAGCTGCATACACAAATGAGGAAGACTGCTGCATCCTGCCTCTGGTGGACTTTCATGGAGTGTAATATGCTGTGTACAGTGTGGAACCCTGCATATGACCTAACAAAATTTGCTACCTGAGATTTGAAAAGACTGGACTAGAACTTGACTAGGAAAAATAATTGGGTTTTGGTCCTGGATTTATTCAACAAAAATGTATTGATTACCTACTATGTGCCAGGTCCTGGGTTAGGTGACTGGGCTGATTCAGACAAGGCTACCTGCTCTTGTAGAGCTGTTGGATGTTCTTGTGGTGGAGATGGATGACAAACAATTACATATAAATAAGTACAGTGTATAGCCAGTGCTAAAGAGAGGAGGAAGAGAAGAATGAGAGAGATTGGGGTGTCAGAGGGGGCTGAGTACAGTAGTCAGGGTGACGTTGTTAAAAAGGTGAGAAAGGAGCCCAGATTTGAAGAAGGAGAGGGGATTAGCCAATGTGACCCCTCATCAGCCATGTGACCTGTGACAACAATGTCAAAGCTCTGGGTCTTGATTTCCTCATTTGTACAATGGGAGATTGATCTAGATGATCTATACTAAAGTCTTTTTAAGTTCTAAAATTGCGTGAACTATGGTTTAATCTATGCCAACATTACAGAATGAAGCAGTCATCTAGTAAATGTTCATTAAGCCCACATAATGTGGCCTGGGCTGCTAAATGCCGTGGATGCCACAGCACTTAAGAAATGCTCATTAGTGGTAATGTGGAAGTATCTCATTAGATCATTCGTTTACTCATTTATTCAACAAACATATAAGCACCTACTATGTGCGAGGCACTACTATGCAATAAGTTACGATGTTGACAGTCTGATGAGGAAAGGAGGCATGCTAGAAAAAAGTAACACATGCTAAGGTGGCACAGAGGTGGCGTTTGGGACACACAGGGAGGAGAAACCAATGATACTGAGTGCAGAGTGCCCACTTCTGCCAGTGGCTCCAGATACATATTTTTTCTACCCACAAAGGTGAACTTCTGGAAATTCCTTCTTTAAAAAATCTAATTGTTTTATCTTTTAAGAAGGTGGCAATGTTTTACTTATTAAATGGAAGGAAACAGCTTTTATTTCTGATATTTCCTCTTGTTATTCTTTACAAAATTTTAAAGTAGCTTATCGTGTTCAAATGGTAAGTATACTCATATTAAGGGCAAATATTAAGTTTGGAAAGCTTCAGTTTCTACAAGGAAAGTAAAAGTGATCAGATACTGTTTAATACTATTGGGGAAATTTTAAATTGTGAAATTAAGGGCAAAGAAGGCAACTTATAAAATGTTTATTTCATTAGACCTAAGGTAAATGGTATGGTTCTGTTAAGAAATGTACTTTGAAAAGCATGACTTTTTCCACCAGTATTTGTGGTCTTTTTCTATTTAAAAATCAGTTTTCCATAACAGGGAAAAAATAATAAACATAACAATAACAACTATCATCTATTGGGAGCTAATTGTGTGCCAGACATAGTACTAAACTCTTTTCCACATACTATCTCACTTAATTCTCAAAAGCTATATAAAACAGTTATTAGGCTCAGTTTTATAGATGAGGCAACTGAGACTTGAAGAGATTAAGTAAGTTTTTCAAGGTCCATGCTAGTAAGTGGCACTAGGAGAGAGACCCTTGAACTTGTCCTTAGAAGAGCTGTGCCTGAACACCAGATATAGGAAACACTGACTCTATGTCCTTGATAACATCAAGCAGTTGTGTGTTCAGTATAACTATAACTATTTTGCATCTAACATTGGTTAATGGGAAAACGGTCATAAAATTTCTCTGCTATCTGTAGATGTTTTCTTAAAAGTTATATTTTAAAGAATAAATTTACCATCTCTGAACTTCTACTAGTAATTAAAAGTCTATGCAAAGAGTTTTTAGACTTGATCCAAATATTTGGATTTTGTTATTTTGTGTGATTTGGTACTCCATATAACACTCTTCCTAATCTTCTTAAGTTTCAATAGATTTAAAAGTGGTTTGACTAGGCCCGTCATGACATGAGGAATACGAATATAATCCATTAGTCGAGAGTATAATAGAGAGAATATCAACAGCAGCCTATCTTCCTGTAGAAGAATTTGAGAAAATTACCATCCCCTACAATTGAGGACAGTATACGATATAAAAGGTAATATCTTGATTGCATATTTTTAGCAGACTCAGTGGACAAGTGAAGTTTGCTTTTCTGTGTAACAAAATAAATTCAATAAAAAATTAAAGGAAAAAATTAGTACTTGTGAAATTTTATCTCATGCTATGTCTTTCTCCATGGGAAACTGGGAGAGATTTCTTTCTCATCACCAGAAAGATGCTTTACATTAGAAACACTTTTCATGGGGTCTACACCTACCATTTTCTTTCCTGGCCATATGACTTTTTTATTTAAACCAGATTAAACATTTTTGTCTCTACATCACTAGAGAATTTCCCACAACAAAACTGTGAGGAAACCTTCAGAAAAATAATTAGGTAGACTCAAGAATGTATAATTAAAATGTTGGGCATCCGTATCAAGGCAGCCAAGGAGAATTCGAGCATGATGTGTGCTATTCCCCCAATATGATGTAGGCCTGGGGAACTTAGAGTACAAAAATAGAAATTCAGTAAAAATGGGGGAGAGAAAAGATGTTTTTTACAATAACATGAATTTTGAACAATTTTCTATCACTGAGATAAGCTTAGACCGCTTACTAGTACAATTCAGGAATTTGATATTCAAATCACTAATTTAATCATCTGGCTGCAAATTGTTATAAAATTTTGTGAGAGTTTCAGCTCTCTTAAATTCCTTCTGGGCCATGTTTGATAAATAAAAGTTTTAAATATGAGAAAATTATCCAGTATTTCAAGTAATGAAGCAAGTGAGTAATCTGCTTTACTGATTCTCTTCTATACTATAGCTTTATTCTTGCATTGTGAAAGACAACTAGAATAATGGCAGGCCACTTGCAAGCAGTTTTTCTGAAGGACTGGAATCTGAAAATTCAATCTGAATGCTATCAAAAAGGAGAAAGTAAAAATTAGTGGAAAAAATGAAAACTGATATTTGGAGAAATCTTAAAATACATCCTGACTTATGGATGTAACATCCATAATAATGATGATGATGATGATGATGATGATGATAATTCTATAACCCAACTCACACATCATTATTAATTTCCACAAGCCAAATATAGGCCTTGTAGTTCTATTACTTGAAAGCTCTTTAGCAACTCTTCAGGGCTTGACTACACTTTCTAAGAATATCAAAATGAAGTGGACTATGAAGGCATTTAAAAAAATTGAACACCATACGCAATAATCTGGATAATTCTGATCCCTTGGGCCAGAAATCTCCTTGCACTAAATTTCAACAGAGGAGATGAGAGCGGGAAGGCTAGAGAAACAGCAGTGTTCTTTGCTGAGATAACTTGAACCTAACTTATAGGAGTAATTTTTCAAATGTTAGTACATTTGAAAAATAATATTTCCATACCCTGGGTGCAATTTAGATTAAATGGTTTTCACATAGTTTATAATATACACAGCTAAAGTTTATTTTACCTCAAATTTAAAACTGCTATTGTTAATAATCACTAGGTATTACCATTTCGGCTGAATTGAATTCTGTGATTAGAAGTTAAAAGTTATTCCTCATCAGAAATCTCTATGTGTAAATATCTTATAGTCTTCAGGAAATAGCTTTGGTTCTACTATATCTATTAAGGAAACAGCTGAGTCAGCAGCTTGCAGAGTAAAGTTTACGATTATATAATTTCTTTTCACAGTTCAACAGTGAAAAAACTAAAGCTGTTGGAAGTAAGCAAAACTGAAAGAGATGTGTCTGATATAGCTAGACATAGACAAACTCAGAATTCTATTTTGGTAGTCATGATACGTACAGGAAAATACCTCTAGCCAGATTTACACTATCATATGACCTTCACAAGTCATACTTTTCAACAGTGAATGCAGTTTTCTGGAACTACACTTTTGACCTTGAAGATATAACTTGGTGTTTTACTAAGCCTCTTAGCAAACTTACAATGCCTCTGTTCTCCCTACTGAGTTCATCTAAAATTAATATCATCATATGTTTCAACTGTTAAATTCTGTAATTCTTATTTTAATTATTCAGCATCCAAGGGCAAGGAGAGAAGCTACAGCTCCTTTAGAACTATCTTTTCTTATTGCATAAGTCTCAGCTTTCTTAATGCAGGATGTCCCTCATCTGAAGCTGGGACTGAGGAAATTGCTGCATTATACTGCAGCCTCGAATCTTGCTAAAGCTCTCAGCCTTAGGATTCAGCTGAGCTGAACAGAAATATGCAGAATATATTTGCCTATGAGAACTAAAGCTTTACTGAAGGACATTATAATAGTGTAAGTTACTTTTCCCTGGACCATATCTTGTCTGATTTTCATTTTATTTATATTGCTTCTCTTAATGATTAAACAGTTACTCTATCAGAATGACCTTACATCACGTTTTACTTCTATTTCTTTCCTCTGCCTTGAATCCAAATAAACTTTTCACCCTTCATTCTACTCGAAGATAGCAACTGCACTAAAACACCTCGAACAATTGCACCAACTCACTGTGGTTGGATATTCTTAAGTCATTCAACTTTCATTATCCCCAGTTCTTTAATGTAATGCAATAGCATGCAGAAGCCAGGGAGCATGTTTTCCACTTAGTGGAAAGAGAAAGAAAAGGTCAGTGCAACAGAACTGAAATTATGAAACACCAGCCCAACATCTCAACTCTAAGTAACTTGAAATTAATTTGACTTTCATAAGAAAACCTGTGTTTTCTTACCTTGGATGTGAATAACTCTGTCATGGTCCAGAGTATAGTTGTTTGAATGATGATCAGCCCAGCAGACTGAAATCAGCACCAGAAGAAGTAGACTCTTCATCTTTATAGCCCCAAGAATCTTCTTCACTGTGAGAGCATCACATACAAAGAGGCTTGTGAGATTTGGAACCCTTTGGAGTGTTGCACTGCACAACTTATTACCGCTTTATCATCGTAGAATGGGTCTGTAAAAATATTTAACCCAATCTGTTCAGAAAGTTACTGTAGCTGTCTTTGAGAGAAAAAGACAGCAGCTTTGAATAATTCCAGTTCCCCTTATGTAGCCAGAATCTAAACAGTGTTTAACTCTATCTTTGCAGAATTGTAAATCTAAAAATTTAAAGCACTGTAGTTTTGAAATACAGTTATAGCAAGTTACGAAGAGATGTGGCAAGGACATAAATAGACTCAAAAAATTTCAAGCCTTTGGATTTGGAGTATAAGTTATTAAAACAGCAATTTGACATATCTATATATGAATATTTATCACTTGGTCAAGTTAAGAACCGAGTCTTAAACCAGGACAAATAAAGAACATTTGCATGAAACTTTACGTCATCATTTTACATGTGGCTTCCTAAGCAGGTTAGATTTGCTTCTTCTAAATAGAAAAGAGGACAAAAAAAAATGTCTAATTAAGCAGAAGTAGCACATTTGTTACAGATTCACTTACCATCTTAAATACTGCTTGGGTCTATGATGAACAGTTGAAAATTGTGGACAAACTAGGTTAGAGTTGTGCATGCTACAACTGCAGTCATCCTGATTGATTTTCATTCATTTCAACCTAAAATGCTGACGCACCAACTTAAGAGTGCCAGGTAGGGTCTCTGCAGTCAGCAGAGCCATGGCTGCAGAGAACATCCTGGCAGCTTCGCAGGGCAATTAGGCAAATGAAGAGCTGAAATAGGCAGGCGCAGCTCTGGTCCTCAGTGAGAGAGGCAGAGCCATCACTTGCCTGTCCTTTATTGAAAGACCTTCCCCACAGAACTTTGTCATTGGAAGGACTGAAAGTGATTCCAGGTGATACAAACCTTATGACCTTTGCAGCATCTGCTAGGTAAGAATTTCAGTGTAGCTCCTCTGTTTTAATGTGGAAGCCGAGGCAAATATTAACAAGGACTTTCTTTTTCTCTCATGCACACAGCAGCCTTAACAATACTGGCTATTTTTAAAACTGAAATTGCACAGTACTGGCTTCTCACACTAATTTGTTTTTTCCAGGAAAGCCTGACTCCCTGGAATACTTATTAAAGAGCTCTGAGTCTGTTCCTGGAGGTCCTTGCAGGCAAGCCTCTAGTTCAGAGCCTGGTACACTTGTTCACACAAGTTCCCTGAGTCTCTCCTGGGACCCAAACACCTCTGTGCATTTTCTCCTCTAAAAATCTGCATTGTTGTGATGCTTATGGCTTCAGTATTTTATGTTTGCTTTAAACATTTTCTTTTATTTATAATGATACATAGGAAGACAGTGGATTAGCAAATTGTGAAACTTACTTGACCAGGAAACCAAGAGTGTTACCTTCAAAATTCTACCTGAGTTACTAATCTTGTTTTCAGAAGTTCATTTGCTTGTTCCTCTGAGGATTTCTGTGAAATGACTATTGTCCATAGGAGTACAGTTAACAAATATTACCTATTTTCAGCCCAAAATTGTGCTTTGGGTGAACAGATATAATAAAGGTGACCTTTCAGAATTTGGAATGCAAGTGAGATAATTATACACACAAACAAGAAACAACAGGCAAACAGCCCCAGGGGTATGATACACTCTCTGCTTGCCACAGGAATCAGAGAATGGGGGACATTACGAAGGAGAGGATAAAAAGGAAGCATACAGTTTTCACAGTTACAGAAAACACCATTCTAGGTAAGGGGTCAAGATGAGCAAAGGCAGAGAATTTAGATGACCACAGTATAGATGACCACACTAATGTGAAAATAAATCTAACATATATATACATATTATATATATAAAGTATATATAATATATATATATTATATACATAGGGAGTTGTACACACACACACTAGGTTAGAGTTGTATATCTTACCACTGCAGTCACCTTGATTTTCATTCATTTTTACCTAAAATATATTACACATATATCTATATAATTCCCTTAATTCCAAACCGTGAATCCAAAATTATACCACTAAGGGTTCACTCCACTGAGTTAAGGTATTAACTGTCCAACAGCCCAATAATAAAATGCAAACATCCTGGGTATATGTGGAGGGGGAGGATAAATAATAGTCATAATAACAGCAGTGCCTTTTAGTTGAATGTCTACTATTTGCCCAGCACTAAGCTAAGCATTTTGCACACAATGGCTCGTGCTATCCTTATAACAATAATGTGAGACAAATATTTCCATTTTCCCTGATACAGAGAGTTATCTTGCTGAAGGTCACACATCTAGTAAGTGGCAAAATTTGGATTTACCTTTAAGCAAAAGCAACACCCAGGTTAAGTTGCACTTATTTTTTCTGATAGAGAAACTTCATTTGTTACTTGTTTTGCTTTCTTTTTTATTCAGGCTCTTCAACTTGAAACTACTATGATTTTAAAACTTTGACTCATGTTATGTCTGAATATAAACTTTTTTTCAAGGCTTAGATATGGGAGGTCAGTTAGATGGCACTTTTCATAACATGACTTGCTCTGCCTCATTTATACTACCACCCCAGTGCCATGCACAATGCCTCAGTGGCTCATGTGTGCACACACGTGTACAGAGACACATCATCTCTGAAAAAGCCAAAGATATTGCACATCTGCAGTGATGTGTGATAAAAATAGAGGCATTTATCAGTGAACACCTGTGAGCACTCCATCCTGGCGTGAATACAATCCAGGCAGAAGAGAGTGGAAATGGCCTTTGCTACCCAGGCAGCACAACCACCATCTCACCAATAGACATAAAAGTAGAGAAAATAATTTCTGGGACACAATCTTCCGGTGTCTGAGCACACTGCAGTATAACATGAGCTGCTGAACACCAGACTGAGACTCTCCAAAGTGAGGGTGGTGCTGGGGTCTGTATGCTGGTCCTCAGCAGAGAAGGATGACTCAGACACAGACACTCAATGAATCCGAGTCCTGCTTATTTGCATGTTGTAATCACATCTCCTCCAAATATCTAGGTATATTAGGTAAAATTACAGTTTTTGATATGAGTAAAATTTAGAAATTCTGGTGGACTTTCATACAACCAGCTGTTCCCAGTCCTGACTTAGCACTCTTGCTTCACCTGCAACTCACACACTGACGGTCTCATTTCCCTCCAAGCCTTGCTGCCATGATGGCGGAGACAGCTTCAAGACAAGTCCAAATTGAGATGTCTGTGTTCATAATCAAAGACAGATGATAGGGATCTAATTTTATTTATTTATTTATTTATTTGAACATCTTTTAAAAAAATTATTGAAACATAATCAATTGCACATATTTGTGGGGTACAGAGTTGAATATCAATACCTGTATATAATATGTGATGATCAAATCAGGATAATTTGTATACTCATGGTTACAGAACATAATCATTATTTGTGCCCCTTAACCAATTTCTCACTAACCCTCCTCGCCCTCTCCATTTCCCACCTCTAATAACCACAGTTTTGTTCTTTCCTTTTGAAAGTTCAAAGTATTGTTATGATTGTTTCTTTCTTTTATTCTTATTTATTTATTAATTTATTGGCTGCCACTTCTGAGTGAGGATGTGCAATATTTCTCTTTTTGTGCCTGATTTATTTCACTTAACATAATTTTCTCAAAGTTTATCCATGCTGCTGCAAGTGGTAGAATTTCATTCTTTTTATGGCTGAGTAGTAATCCTTTGTGTATATATACCTCATTTTCTTTATCCAGTCAGCCACCAATTGACATTTAGGTTGGTTCCATTTCTTGGCTATTGTAAATAGAGCTGCGATGAACATGGGAGTGCAGGTATCCCTTCAACATGATGATTTCCATTCCTTTAGGTATATTCCCAGTGGGATTGCTGGATTGTATGACAGTTCTATCTGTAGTTGTTTGAGAAATCTCTATACTGTTTTCCATAATGTCTGCACTAATTTACAGTCCCACCAACAGTGTAGCAGGGCTCCCCTTTCTCTGAATCCTCACCAGTACTTGTTATTCTGTCATTTTAATAGCCACTCTAACTGAGGTGAGATGATATCTCAATGTGGTTTTGTTTTGCATTTCTGATAAGGATGTAATTTTACAGTATGGTTTTGGTCATAGGTGAACCATTGTTTGAAGCAACATGCCTTATCCAATGTAAAAGTCTAATAGAAATGCAGATATACTAATAACTGTCTGATAACAAAGTAGCCATTTGCTATTCCATAAGGAAGTACTATGTTAAGCTTATTGCATTAGGTAATAGGGAAATAAAACCAGGCGAAAAGCATGTAAGCTATTTTTTATATCTTGAGAGTGTACACTACATATTTTCTGAACTACTATCATATGCTAGGCATTGTCCTTGAAGCTTCACCCACTTAATTGTTATTTCTCAGAACAACACAACTGATGTAAGCATGCTGCTAAACACGTTTTACAGTTACAGAAACAGAGTCTTAGAGTGGTGAAGTGCCCAGCATGGAGAAGCTGAGAGTCTGGGCAGTCTGACACCAGAGACTACAAGCTCAACTGTTGGAAAAATTCAAAATTAATTCTTTCAGTAGCTTGTTTTGCCTTTAAAACAGAACCTGCTTATTGTATCAGCTTTACTGATAATCAACTGCTCTGCACTCCTGCTTCTGTAAACTGTGCTCACTCATCTCAATAGCTACATGAATGCTGAGAAAGCAAAACCTAAAAGCTGGAGGAGTTTACCTATATAAACCCTGTAAGACCTAAACTCAGGGCTCAGAGATTGGAGTACAAGCTCATCTGGGCCCATCAGTGTAATAAAATACCTGATTCTCCAACCCTCTGAGTGCTGACCACTTCTTTGTTGAGTCTGTTCCGTAACACAACCACCATGACAGGTGTCCTGTGAAAACAAAGAACACCGTCCGCTCTCTTCTAGCCAGTGTCACCCTCTTTTAAGGCTCCCACAAGCCTCATCCCT